GCGAGATTCTGAAGAAGAAAAAAAGAAGCGGAACGGCAGCAAGGCACATTGTTATGAACGCCAAACGTTGCTCAACGTTAGATTAAATTCATATTAAAGATTCCCATTGTGAAAATTAGAACAACACATATAAGCGAACAATTGTTTTCAATTAGATCGTCATCAGGCTTTACTCTAATATACATGAATATTTATACGAAAATGTTAAACCAATCAAGGCAATATGAGTCAATAATCACAATGAAATAGAATAAGTCACTACACATAATAGGTAAAAGTACAAGTTGATAGTACGAAGACAGGTGAACAGATAGTGGTAAGAATAATAAACTACAATAACAAAGCTCTTATCAATAGTTAATGGTTGGAAATAGAAGGTCAAATAAACATGGGTAAATAGACTAGGAATAGTAATCACAAAACATTAAAAATCATTACGTAATAAGATGTGTGTAAATAATTAGATAGTGAAGAATACAAAGAGGCGGATAATGACAAACAAATAATGGATGTGGAAATAAGGTTAACAATAACACAGATAGAATAAAATAAATAATGATAATAATAAAATTTGAAATTAAAAAAAAAAAATTGTTAGTTAGGTTATAACTGGCCATGGAAGGGATAGGGGAGTCACGTATTTCTTCTGTACACATAGATTGGGGTTATATGTACGAATTCCAATGGCTTCAGCTATATATAGGAGACGGGAACGGACTCCGTCAGGAAATGATGGAGGTATACGATAGATAACTCGAAATGATTTCAATTTATCTACTGCATGACCGCTATCAATAAGATGTGCTAGTATAGAGCTGCGAATAGTTTTTCTCTGACCCTTTATGTACCAAGTTGGTAGATGTTCACTCATTCGTTGGTTAAGTTGCCTGGTAGTACGCCCTATATAGCTATCTCCACAGGAGCAGCTGAATTTGTAGATGCACATGGAAGAGGCCAACTCAGGCAGCTTATCCTTCGTTTGAGTAGACATCGCTGGTCGACAAGAGAAGGTCAACGCAAGATTGGCTGCGTAGAATGTCTTGGTGATTACTTTGGTTAACCTATATTTCAGAGTGTCACTAGCCACATCCCCGTTGAATTGCACTTTCATGTATAAATGTTTCTTACGAACAGTCGAAATCTCCGACTTCTTTATTATATCCTGCATGTATTTCTTAATGAACGCGCTGGGGTAGCCGATCTCGGTCAGTGAGTTGATGAGAAATTCAAGCTCCTGACTTAGAGTGTCTACTGTACAGATCTTTTTTGCTCTGCTCGTGAGACATCTGACCAAATTTCTCTTGTAACGGATGGGTGTGAAACTGCAGAAGTGGGTATATTGGCATGAAGAGGGGTTTCTTCTATACACGCTTCTACTTAATGTGCCGTCACTTCGTCTGCTTAGTGTGACGTCAAGGAAGCTCAGCTTCATATCATGCTCGCTTTCACCAGTGAAGGTGATCGCTGGGTGAACACTGTTGAATTGGTCTAGGAGTTCCTCTTTACTAGTGTTTTGGTCTACGATAATGAATGTGTCGTCAATGTATCGACAATATAAATCCAGTTTCTTAATAGTCTTATTGAGAGGTCCGTTTTCTAGCTTTGCTAGGAAGAGGTCAGCTAAAATCGGGCCTAGAGGCGAGCCCATGGCTATCCCGTCTATTTGTCTATAGTAAGTATTGTTGAAGACAAAATGTACATTCAGAGTGCATCTTAGAAGCAGTTCCCTTAGGCTATCGTTAGGCAGGCCAATGTTGATTTGTTTCTTTGATATTTGCTTGCATATAAAATCAATAGTCTCTATAAGTGGTACGTTGGTGAACAAAGATTCTACATCCAATGAGATCATATTTTTCATACTGACATTAATATTTTCTACTTTGGAGGTGAAGTTGAAGACGTCTTTTACACTATTCCTAACAACTGATTTGTGTAGAGGTTCTAGGATTCGTACTAGCCACTTTGCGATTTTGTGGTAAGGAGAATTGTACATATCTAGAACTGGGCGTAGAGGAAGACCCGATTTATGTACTTTAGGCAAACCATACAATCGTGGTGTAAATGATCCAGTCGGCTTGATTGAATCGTAAATCTCAGTCGTAATTATTCCCTTTTTCGTTAGATCTTTAAGGAAATTGGCCAATTGCTTTTCTACTTTATTATTAATGTCACAATTACTAGTAATTTTCTGAAATTTGCTAGAATCGCTAAGCATTGTTTCCATTTTTCCCATGTAATCATTTTTGTTCATGAGAACTATACCTCCTCCTTTATCTGGTTTGGTTATGGTCAGGGTTTCATCTTTTCTTAGTTTCATTAAAGAGTCACGGTGCTGCTTGGTTAGTAGGTGATTTGTGGTACCCTTACTATTCTTGTATTGTTGGCAGCTATCAACTAGTGTGGTTTTAAACCGAGCAAGGTCCTCCAATGAGGTAGGAATCAAGTCAGATGTTTGTGAAAATAAATTCTCAAATTGTACATCAGTATCTAATTGGTTGATTCTATGTCTACTATCACAGAATTTAGGTCCCAGAGATAAAGCTTCTAGCTGTACTACATCTAGTTCAATATTGGAAAAATTATGTACGTACCGTTTCGTGTCGAAGGGAAACTGCTTTTCTGGCTTTTGGTTTTCCAAAGTTTTCGTTAATTTTGCCAACGTTTTCTCAGATCTGTTCTTGGAAATTTTTCCCACATAATCCATAAACATTGACTGAAGCTCTGAAGGAAGGTTTTTAACGGAATATTGTCTCTGAAGAAGATTCCTTTCGAAGTCGCAGATATTCATTTTCAAAGTATCAATTTGATTCGACGCATGTCTTTCAAGTGTTTTTGCATTAGGATAGATTCGGTTACGACGTAAAGACTTCCAATATATTTTAGGATATCTATTAGATTGTATACAATTAATAGCAAATTCTATGCTCGTTTTCGCTTCAGTGAGACGTGCATTAAACTTCAGAAACTCATTGAGTGTCTTAAATGCAACAGGGTCCCCACGCGATTTTAGAATATTAAAGATTCCCATTGTGAAAATTAGAACAACACATATAAGCGAACAATTGTTTTCAATTAGATCGTCATCAGGCTTTACTCTAATATACATGAATATTTATACGAAAATGTTAAACCAATCAAGGCAATATGAGTCAATAATCACAATGACTTATCACAGTGACTTATTCTATTTCATTGTGATTATTGACTCATATTGCCTTGATTGGTTTAACATTTTCGTATAAATATTCATGTATATTAGAGTAAAGCCTGATGACGATCTAATTGAAAACAATTGTTCGCTTATATGTGTTGTTCTAATTTTCACAATGGGAATCTTTAATATTCTAAAATCGCGTGGGGACCCTGTTGCATTTAAGACACTCAATGAGTTTCTGAAGTTTAATGCACGTCTCACTGAAGCGAAAACGAGCTTAGAATTTGCTATTAATTGTATACAATCTAATAGATATCCTAAAATATATTGGAAGTCTTTACGTCGTAACCGAATCTATCCTAATGCAAAAACACTTGAAAGACATGCGTCGAATCAAATTGATACTTTGAAAATGAATATCTGCGACTTCGAAAGGAATCTTCTTCAGAGACAATATTCCGTTAAAAACCTTCCTTCAGAGCTTCAGTCAATGTTTATGGATTATGTGGGAAAAATTTCCAAGAACAGATCTGAGAAAACGTTGGCAAAATTAACGAAAACTTTGGAAAACCAAAAGCCAGAAAAGCAGTTTCCCTTCGACACGAAACGGTACGTACATAATTTTTCCAATATTGAACTAGATGTAGTACAGCTAGAAGCTTTATCTCTGGGACCTAAATTCTGTGATAGTAGACATAGAATCAACCAATTAGATACTGATGTACAATTTGAGAATTTATTTTCACAAACATCTGACTTGATTCCTACCTCATTGGAGGACCTTGCTCGGTTTAAAACCACACTAGTTGATAGCTGCCAACAATACAAGAATAGTAAGGGTACCACAAATCACCTACTAACCAAGCAGCACCGTGACTCTTTAATGAAACTAAGAAAAGATGAAACCCTGACCATAACCAAACCAGATAAAGGAGGAGGTATAGTTCTCATGAACAAAAATGATTACATGGGAAAAATGGAAACAATGCTTAGCGATTCTAGCAAATTTCAGAAAATTACTAGTAATTGTGACATTAATAATAAAGTAGAAAAGCAATTGGCCAATTTCCTTAAAGATCTAACGAAAAAGGGAATAATTACGACTGAGATTTACGATTCAATCAAGCCGACTGGATCATTTACACCACGATTGTATGGTTTGCCTAAAGTACATAAATCGGGTCTTCCTCTACGCCCAGTTCTAGATATGTACAATTCTCCTTACCACAAAATCGCAAAGTGGCTAGTACGAATCCTAGAACCTCTACACAAATCAGTTGTTAGGAATAGTGTAAAAGACGTCTTCAACTTCACCTCCAAAGTAGAAAATATTAATGTCAGTATGAAAAATATGATCTCATTGGATGTAGAATCTTTGTTCACCAACGTACCACTTATAGAGACTATTGATTTTATATGCAAGCAAATATCAAAGAAACAAATCAACATTGGCCTGCCTAACGATAGCCTAAGGGAACTGCTTCTAAGATGCACTCTGAATGTACATTTTGTCTTCAACAATACTTACTATAGACAAATAGACGGGATAGCCATGGGCTCGCCTCTAGGCCCGATTTTAGCTGACCTCTTCCTAGCAAAGCTAGAAAACGGACCTCTCAATAAGACTATTAAGAAACTGGATTTATATTGTCGATACATTGACGACACATTCATTATCGTAGACCAAAACACTAGTAAAGAGGAACTCCTAGACCAATTCAACAGTGTTCACCCAGCGATCACCTTCACTGGTGAAAGCGAGCATGATATGAAGCTGAGCTTCCTTGACGTCACACTAAGCAGACGAAGTGACGGCACATTAAGTAGAAGCGTGTATAGAAGAAACCCCTCTTCATGCCAATATACCCACTTCTGCAGTTTCACACCCATCCGTTACAAGAGAAATTTGGTCAGATGTCTCACGAGCAGAGCAAAAAAGATCTGTACAGTAGACACTCTAAGTCAGGAGCTTGAATTTCTCATCAACTCACTGACCGAGATCGGCTACCCCAGCGCGTTCATTAAGAAATACATGCAGGATATAATAAAGAAGTCGGAGATTTCGACTGTTCGTAAGAAACATTTATACATGAAAGTGCAATTCAACGGGGATGTGGCTAGTGACACTCTGAAATATAGGTTAACCAAAGTAATCACCAAGACATTCTACGCAGCCAATCTTGCGTTGACCTTCTCTTGTCGACCAGCGATGTCTACTCAAACGAAGGATAAGCTGCCTGAGTTGGCCTCTTCCATGTGCATCTACAAATTCAGCTGCTCCTGTGGAGATAGCTATATAGGGCGTACTACCAGGCAACTTAACCAACGAATGAGTGAACATCTACCAACTTGGTACATAAAGGGTCAGAGAAAAACTATTCGCAGCTCTATACTAGCACATCTTATTGATAGCGGTCATGCAGTAGATAAATTGAAATCATTTCGAGTTATCTATCGTATACCTCCATCATTTCCTGACGGAGTCCGTTCCCGTCTCCTATATATAGCTGAAGCCATTGGAATTCGTACATATAACCCCAATCTATGTGTACAGAAGAAATACGTGACTCCCCTATCCCTTCCATGGCCAGTTATAACCTAACTAACAATTTTTTTTTTTAATTTCAAATTTTATTATTATCATTATTTATTTTATTCTATCTGTGTTATTGTTAACCTTATTTCCACATCCATTATTTGTTTGTCATTATCCGCCTCTTTGTATTCTTCACTATCTAATTATTTACACACATCTTATTACGTAATGATTTTTAATGTTTTGTGATTACTATTCCTAGTCTATTTACCCATGTTTATTTGACCTTCTATTTCCAACCATTAACTATTGATAAGAGCTTTGTTATTGTAGTTTATTATTCTTACCACTATCTGTTCACCTGTCTTCGTACTATCAACTTGTACTTTTACCTATTATGTGTAGTGACTTATTCTATTTCATTGTGATTATTGACTCATATTGCCTTGATTGGTTTAACATTTTCGTATAAATATTCATGTATATTAGAGTAAAGCCTGATGACGATCTAATTGAAAACAATTGTTCGCTTATATGTGTTGTTCTAAATTCATATTATCTCTTGTCAGAGTGAAATGAAGTCAGAAGCTCCATATTAGAGAATGTAATAATAAAGAATAATGAGTTGTGTCGTTTAACAAGTTGGAGTAAGCTCACATAAAGGAAGGGAAAGCACGGTTGGTACAAAGAAAGCGGTTTATTAGAAGGGAGTGTGCATACAGAGGGTGAAGTGTTAGGAATACTAATTACTATATCTTTTATTGTCTAATTTTTCTTTCTTTTCTTTTTTTGTCCATCCAATGCCAGCCAAACAATCCCAGTGTAAAAGTCCGAGTTAGCATGTTATAAGTTGTGTTAGTAGAATGGCTAATCTAGCATAAAATTGGGAACGTGAGTCTGAGTGGTGAGCGTAGGAAAACAATTTATATCACAGATTAATTAACTTGTTCTCAAACATAAAGCGCCTGATACAAACAAAATGTTTTGCCCCCACAAACATGGGTGGATCGAAGTCATCGCCCTCACCATCAATGCTTGTTGGTCAGTAACTCCGCCCTCCCTCCTTTTGTGATGTTAGGCTCATTTAAGCTTATTTTTGGATATATGTCATACCTCACACAATCCTCTGTGTTTCAGAACCTGTTGGAAAACACTATTTCTATAAGTACCACTTAACAAGCTTATCAGGCAGTTACAAGTTATGGACTGTGGGCAAGGCATCGATGCAGTGCTTCTATTGACTATAGTATAAAGTATAGTTTGTCAATCAGGGTATAAGCATTAAGAATGGTATGATGTAGGTTAGTTGTTTATTAAAGCAGGCGGAAAAGTATTGAAGTATATGAGTTGTAGATAAGGTAACGAGTGAAGAAATAATATTAATTGTTAGTCAAGATAGTGTACAGAAGAGTAAAAAGTTAATACAGGATAAACAGGAAGAAACTCACATTAAGTTGGTGTTGATGTTATTTTGTGTTGTCCTAACCAGTTGATTGGTAACAGGCTCCATAGATGCAAGACCACTGGTAGTAGGCAGTCGACTGTGCGGTTCTCTTGAATTTTAGGGTGGTAGTGAGTGTTCCTAAGCGACCGAGTTTGGTTGAACAGTATCGATAGGTCCAGTGAGTCACCTGTCTACTTCAAGTGAAGAAATGGTGGAAAAAATAACTAATACAACTGCAAAGTAGGAAAAATAAGACAAGCTGAACTTGAAGTCCATTTTGGTCTAGAAATGGAGAGAGCCTATGATGTCAGAATGGGGCGCAGATGTGTCCGTACGTGCTAGGTCAGTGCAAGTGAGGGTCTGATCAAACAGTTTTACAGACGCACATACTTGGATTCTTGCTGCCTATTTATTTGTCTATGAAATTATCCTCTGCACTTAATTGAGACTTTCACAGCATCACTCCAAACTATAACTGCACAAACACTTATACTACCGTTACATCTTACTGCGATGAGTTATCTTCTTATTTATTTTTCTTAATTTTATTTCTGCTACTTTTTGGAGTACATACATAGTCGTTTGTTATTGCTCTGTGTTCACAAACACACATTAAACTACTTACGTAGTTCGCGTTTCTCTCGTTTCCGTTCCCTTATATTCTTCCTTTCCTTCTTTAAAGTCAGTTCAGTGTTCTTCCCATTTACACAGAACCTGATTTATTGTCATTATATTATTATTATTTTATTAACATTGCACTTTTCTTTGCTTTTTTCTTTCTTAGATATGGCAAATTTGCTAGCATTACTGAAACATATATATTATTACATTTCTGAAGAAACTCGAAATGGTTTCTTCAAAAAATGCAATAATACACAATTTTCAATAATGTCAGCATTATACTTGCCATTTAAAAAAATTTTAGAGCAATAATAGTAGAATATTAATAATAATAAATCGGGTCTGTGCAATTGAGAAGAATATTGAATTGAGTTTAAAGAAGGAAATGGAGAAAATAAGGGAATAGAAATAAAGATTTGAAGTACGCAAACAGTCTAATAGGCGTGTTTACGAACACAGAACAAGAATAAACGACTATGTGTGTATCGTTAAATTAGTAACAAAAAATAATTAAGAAAAAATAACTTATAATTGCAGTAAGATATGACGCTAGAATAAATGTTTGTGCAGGTATAGTTTAGAGTGATGCTATGAAAGTTACAATTAAATGAAAAGGATAATAAAATATCAATATGTATGAGTCATATATGCATAGTGAAGATAAAACGGGTCTGAGAATTTAATTTAAGTGTTACACAAGTTATTGTTCTAATTACAAACTTCGTAATCTTAAGAATAATATTTATTTAGAGGGAAAGAAGAGAGAAAAGAAGTGAACACTTAGTGAAAAGTTTTGATCCATGATAAAAATAATAATTGTGTAATGAATATCAACCTCAGAAGGAAACCAGCAATTGAAAAAATAAAATAAAAATCCGTTAAATAATAATAATAATGATAATGAAGAGTAATGGCTTTAAGTTCACGGCCCATAATCATGCGTTTTCGCTTAAGGGGTTCGCAACTATAAAAGTTACAAGACAGACGCTTAGACGATTGATACGAGTATGTTCATCACAGTATATATAACATCAGTGAGATTCAAACTTTTGGGATCTACTAGAGAGGTAATTACTGCTCACAGCGGCCTGCTTGAATACCTGGGCTACCTGTTTCTGCCATTTAATTATTTCAACAAGTTATCTGTTTTTCATTTCGTTTTAACCTCTCATTATATCCATTAATCGCATAGCCTATACAGGCGCGTCTGTGAAAGGTCTATGACCTTTCGCTGCACAAGTTACAAAAGAGTACAACAAAAAACATCATGGTGGTTGGCAATATGCGTTGAAGAGAATGAACAATAGTTGTAAATCGATTCCCGAGCTGCTAAATTCTAACTGCCGATCACTAATTATCAAGGTGGATTATCTTATGTATCTTAATTGTGGTGTCATCACAATTCAAGAATCTTGGTTAAATGATTTACAGGATGACTGCCTTGTATCATTAGGTGATTTCAAAATTTATCGTTAGGATAGATCAAACAATAAAAGAGATGTGACGGCGGTGTAGCTACGTTTGTAAACATAAACTGTGGTCGATCTACGTTTGCTTGTTTCAAGTTTTCAAATGACTTGATCGACTGTCTAACTCTAAGATGTCGTCCAAAACATCTAAATAAATACGAATATGTTTATGTTACCAACATCTACGTGACTCCAGATTGCACATCATCTGCACTATCTGTTTCTGCTGATGAATTCACTGAGTTCGCTGTTACTGCCTTCAGTGATTCACTTTCAGTTGTATGTGGTGACTTCAATTCATGTGACTGTAGCTTTCTTACGTCACTAGGTCACCAAAATGTAGTAGATTTTCCTACCCGTCTGGATGCTCATCTAGACTTCGTCTTCATTAATGATGTGGGTATATATGCGACTCGTAAAAGTGCTCCATTGTCTAGCTCGGATCACTGTATAATTCGTGTTCTACCTAAAGTATATGGAAAGCATGGGAAGAGTACACTCTTACATCAAACCAGGAAAGTCAAATATAGGATTTACTCAGAAGAAAATATCCGAAATCTGAAAAACATGTTTCCTACAACTAACTGGGAATTATTTACAGATGACTCACTGGAAATCACTACTGATGTTATCACTTGTTACCTTAAATTCTGTTTTAATGTTTGTTGTCCCACTGAAACCATTTTTGTAAGTTTTGATCTACTTACATCTTCACAACTAAAACGACTACGGAGAGTGAAAGAAAGAATGTACAAGGAGAAAAACTAATGAAGTTCGTAAGATGAATGGTATGATAAGCCTAGAGATTAGACGTCTCAACTGTATGTTTACTCAAAAACTCTTGTCTTGCAAAACTCTCCAAGTATGTGGAAACTCTTTAAAGAACGTACAGGTGACAGACAGTTTAGAAGCAATAACCAGCTGAATGTTTATGACTTAAATAAGTCTTTTGTACGTCAGTCATCTGATGTAATACTCCCTTCATCCACAGTTTTAAAGAATAGCTGTTTTCTTAGTTTCACTGAAACTGATGTCCGAAGATGTCTCCAGTCACTTAATTCATCCCGATGTTTAGGACCTGATAGTGTCCCGAACATCCTTTTTAAAAAGTGTGTTGATAGATGAAGACTACGTTGATAGATTCCACTTGAAAATCGCAATGAGTGATTGTAGATGTTGAGTAACAATGGTCAGAATCAGTTGTAGTGTCAGATGTATTCGTTCTTTATCTTCCTTTAGGTCTTGAATTCCGATGTTCCTTCATTTCGAACCATCATCTCAATCCTCTGACTCTCTTGCTGTCATTGATACTGCTATTATTTCAGCTTTTCTCCTCGTCTTGATAATTTTACCTCGCTGCCCAGCTGTGGTTTGACAACTTTTGGTGATTCTCATGTGTCATTCTACGATGGATATAACTAATTGTAAACATCTATTGTCTTAATTTATAGTATGGGAATTTTTCTGTACAACAGATTGATTGAACTTAACTTTAGCATGAAACATAAACGTCATCTAAACTCCACTTTGGGATCCCATAATGCTTGTGGCATTAGAGACTCTTTGATAAACACAATGTCGCAGATCAATTATCTTGGTGTCACCTTTTCCTCTGATCTCTCTTGGTCTTGTCACGTTTTATTGTTATCAAAGAAAGTTTTCCGTCTGACTTACTACATAAAGAGACTGCATGCACTTGGGGTTACTCGTGATTTGAT